AGGTCCAATTCCTGGCTCTACACAGAACCACCCAAAAATCAGACCACGTGTCCAGGAGCATTGTCCAGCATCGTTATAATCAAAGAAAACCCGTTGTTTCTGTTACTTTCAATTTTAGTTTTTAATCCAATCTGGGATTACCTTGGTAGGTGAGAAGTGAACCATTTCAGATCCTTTTATTTTTAATACCTGTTTGAAGATAGCGCTGCATGCAGGAATTCTTGGGTCTCTGAAAAATAATGTCAGATTGTAGAAAATATCACCATGATTTATACAGTTATAGTCACAACTTAGTTGCATAACTTGATAACCTAGTGCCAGGTCAGTAATTATCTAGAGAAAGGCAATGGAAAATGTTAGTGTGGGCAAACTGCTGGTAAGGTTTCTTGTTCTTCATATACAGCCCTCATTGAATTGCTTGAACTACACATGTGGAATTCCTCTGGACTTTAGAAAGAGGCTGTTGAATCTGAGTTCTGATTGTGTTGCCTGTCTTGAAAGACAGCAGAGACACCATTGCTTCAACAGGAGCTCCTACAAGGTGTCTCTGCTTTGAAATGTCAACCACCTTCAAAGATCCTGGCCTCAAGAACAGAAACACCTTGTCTGGTGTTCCTTTTCTCTCTGAGGGTCTTTATATGTAATATTGCCCTTTAAAAGTTACTGCACATCACATAATTCAGTTTGATATTCCACCTTGTAGCATTGTGTTTCCTTTGATATCACACTCCTGAAGATGATATGACCTTGAAGGTGACATTTTAAACTAATAAACGAGAAGAACTGAAACTAAACCTGAACATTGTAAGCCAAATGGGCTGACTTTTACCTCAAGCTTTCATTTCTGTACATGAAAAGTACACAACGATCAGAATTACGTATTTGCATTTTTTTCTTAATATCTCAAGGAAACAAATGTTATGCAAATGTGTGATCTATTCCTTTTTTTCCTATGCACTGACCCATAAGCTATGATTCTATGATTCTGTGAAATGCTTTTGCCCATTGTTCTGTCATTCTTTTCTCACCCCTTCTCCATACAAATACTGCCGACAGTTTAAGTTGGTTGAATCACTGCAATGTTTGATGGAGGTGTAGTAGCCTCCAAGCTGAAGATTTGTGTGAACCTCCATAGAAGGAAGATGACTAGAATCATTTCAGTGCTAAGCATAATCTTAAAGTTGCAACTGAAAACTCTGCAGTGATCAAAGTTCAGTTATTTTCTCCTTGATGTGAAATTGCACCTCTCTTAGCCTTTCTTTTTCACTTGTTGTCAAGTCAGATGCATCCTTAGGTCGTAGGTATATGAGGCAACCCCATCAGATTCAACAATATTATATTTAAGCTTAGCTGTCCTGAGCTTCACATGAAATTATTCAAAAATGCATATAGCTTTCCTTAGCTGAAATTGGGATTCAGGGGGCAGCTATTTAGGATAAGAATTTTTAGCCTCATTCTACTGCATGAATGAATGAATACTTACAGAGTAGTTCACCACCACAACCCAGCTAAAATGGGATTATTCCTAATGGAAGGTCTTGCTACTGAGGGGCTACAGAGGAAACATCGTTTAGGTGAGTGCACTTAAATTGGGAAGTCTAAGCTGCCTGAAGTTAAACTGATACTGACTAATTCCACAATCACATCAACCACTTTGCATTTCCTCTAGAGCCAAGTGAGGGTGCAAAAGATGAGCTATGCCATTGGAGAGAAGGTGACTAGCTGAATAACATGAAAAACTCTTTTTCCCATGCTATGAGGAGGGTCTAAATAGCTTTCCAAGATCAGATGCCAAGCTTTACATCAGCTGGGTTAGCTGAGATGAATCCTACAAAGTTCAACAAGCAGATTTCTGTCTGCAGGCTCCAGTACAGACCTGGGAAGGTAAAGCAGAATTTGCACTCCCTGCAAGGCATCCTGTATTAAGATGATTTTTACTTATTATTTCTATGCTCTAGACTACATGAAAACTTATTCTTTAAAACTACATGTTGGCATTATTTATTCCAAACATGCTAAGAACCAGGAGAATTAATCCATATGGTGCTGTGCCTTGCTTCTTGCAGTGTCTGAGCCACTTCTTTCAAAGCTAGCTTGAGTATCCCTCCATCACACGGCAATGGAGACATACCATCAGAGCCAGAGGAGAGCCCTACTGTGCAGTTTCACACTCAAATCACACATTTCCGTGGGCAGGTTTCACCCAGCAGGAGTTCCTGGCTGTGTTGTGGTTTACAAATGTAAGGGGATTGTCCATGCTGACATGTATTATATTTTATATACATATATTTTTGTGTGTGTTCTTTGCTCTTCCAAATGGTTGCTTTCAAATATGGTTTTATCAGAAAGGATCGAGCAACTTTCTTACTGACAATGAATTCTTTGCAGTCTTTGTCACTTACTGGGCAAATTACTTTTTTTTTTTTTCCTGTTTCCTTCTCTTTCAATGCCAACACATCAGTGTTTTCTAGTAGAACAAAATAATGTCTTTTAAAGTTGGAATATTTTATTTATGCGTGGTATTGCCACAATAGCAGACTACTGTTCAGACTTCTATGAAATATTTATTCATTGTCTTCTCTTTCTTCTCTGCAGTATGAGGATTTATGCTCATTTCTCTAGATAGGTTTGCAGTTTCTGTTGTTATGCCAGTATTTGGAAAACAACTGATGCTAAAGCAGTAATAAAGAATAAGAAAGCTTTCCCTAATTCTAGCACAGCCATTTAATTCAAGTGAGCAAGGCTAGCAGGTGGTTCTCAGAAGATCTCATTAGCCTCTGATTGTCTCTAACACCTCTTGTAAGCAAATGTCTCATTACCATGGATATTTACATATGCTTTACTTTCATACAGGTTGCCATACATCAGTGAACTATAAACCTATTACCAAATGTCTTCAGATTTGAATGGTAAATACTATTCCTGCTGTGTGGACAAACGGTAGCTATCAAAGACAGTAAAATCTAACAGTGCTCAATTCAATCTTGATTTCCATGTTTAGTATCACTGAACTTTTCAAATCATAAAAATCATGAGGTCTTTGAGCCTTTCAGAGATATCCAGTAGAGTCATAGCATGCATACAATGAGATACTCATCTGGAAGTGGAATCAGTCTGGAATACGAATGGAAGAAAGGTGGGGAGAGGAAAATGTGAAGGTTTTTCTTTTCCAGTTCCTGTGGTGACTAAATTTTATATACTCAGCAGTTTATTTTATGTAGCCTCATAATCACAGAATGGCTTAGGTTCCCTGGGACCTTAAGATCATCAAGCTCCAACCTCTGCAGTGGGCTGCCTGCCTCCACAGCTCAAGCTGCCCAGAGCCCAGCCATGGCCTTGGGCACCTCTAGGGATGGGGCACCCACAGCTCTCTGGGCAGTGCCAGGGCATCGCTGCCCTCTGAGTAAAGAATTTCTTTCTAACCTCTAACCTAAATCTCTCCTCTTTTAGTTAAAGTCCTGATCTGATGCTACAGCCTTTCATTTGAAAGAAGGGTTACCAGCTGCTTATCATACTGACATCATTATAGCATTGTAGTTTGATGCTGAACTAATTCTTCAAACCCTCAACTCATAGCTTCCTTATCCACCACACATGGTAGTACCTGGCTTATATTTTGTGAGGACTTGATTTTCTGCCACTGAAGCTGATGGAAATAAATACACAAAGGCCAGTTCTGTTCATACATTCTCATCCGATAGCAATCCCCTACTACTGACAAAATTGACAAAGCCCACACCGTTTTTTAGCAGCTGAACACCCAACATTCATTGTATTGTACTTCTCCCAGTCTGAAACACTGACACTTTGAAATATTATCTGCTTTTGTTGAGGATCTTATTTTCTCAGGCATGCAGTCTAAGAGAAAATATATCAACAGAACCCCACGTACTTCTGAGTGAGGAACTTGCACCTTTTAGCAGTTGGTAAGATTAGATGCTCAATCTCAACATCAAATGCAAAGAACTCTGAGAGATAGTTAAGTTAACCCAGCTGCAGACTGGGTTGTGCATAGAAAGCTCCTTGAAAACCAGTCCTAATTTGTCATATTTCTGATGTTTAATACCCTTATTTTTCCTGTGTCCCAAGAGAAAAAAACTCCCATCCCTAACATTATCACCTCCTATTTCTGCATGCTTCTGATGCTAAAATTCATCCAGTTCCGTATAATGACTGAAAACTGGAAATAAACATTTTCAGGTTGGAAATAATAGGCACAGTCCTGTAACAGGAGGTTGGTTGTGTATCACTCAGATCTTTAATTAAAGGCTGGTGACATTAAGCCTAATATTTGAGTGATTGTGAAGGGTCTGATTCTGTGTTATGCAAGAAATCCTTTAGCTATTTCGCATTTACACGCATGTAAAGACAGTGAATACTACAGGAGTGGTTCTTTACATTTCTGTACTGAGTATTTTCCTAATGAACTGAACAAAATGAAAGAGAGAAGCTTCACTCATATACATCCCAAAAAACAACTCAACAAGCAGCTGTGGGATGAAGCAGAATCTATTCTCCAACTTTCAATCACCACCCTGGGCCAAATTCCAATAAGTGTTAGTATCCAACCTCTGACAGGGATTCAAGTTTGCAGAAATTCACTGAATTGAAATCAGAGATGTCAATCAAATCTCCACAGATTTAACACACTTTTTGCTAGACAGATAGTGGCTGTGAATTCCACTCTAAAGGGAGTATTAGCTTCTGACGTATAATGGAGCAATTTAATTGGGACTAACAGCTTTCACTTTTTGCCAGAGTGGAGTCTGTCCATTACTGTATAATGCTACATTGTACGTATGCTTATGCTATTCTTATCAATGCAAATTATTTTTTGGGTCAGGGAAAGCTTATCAGAAAGTGATACCGTTTGTTATTCTAACCAACTGCACGCTGATGGATAGAAGGAAGAACCAACCACTAAAACCATTTTGAAAACAAAGAGAAGAGAGAGTTTGCACCATTAATCTTATCTTTTTTTGCCTCTCTCTTTTCTATAGGTTGCCCAGGAATGTGGGACAACATTACATGCTGGAAACCTGCAAGTGTGGGTGAAATTGTCTTTGTCAAGTGTCCTGCTCTGTTCAGATTTATCATCTCTGAAGACGGTAAAGTCCTTTCTCTGTGTTTTTTGCTTCTGCCTGGTAGAGCTGCATGGCCAGCAGGCAAATAAAGCCTGATTCAGTTGCTATACTTAAAGGGAAAATAAGAACTACAGTGGCCTGGGGTTGGTTTGAACTTCTGTTCAAAAGAAAACAGTAAAAAAACAGGATGTTTTTGTGTAGATGTATGTGCATATGTTGGGTGGAAGGGGTAAAGATGTGTGAAAAAAAGCTATCTTGGTCACCATGAAGTTATTGGAAAGTCTAGTAGCTAAACAGGGCGTTTGCCCTTGGGAATCCACAAAGATCAGCAAGACCTGAGACTGTGTGAAGGTGTCAGACAGCTAGTCATCATAACTGGAACCTATTTTAGAAAATAACTAAAACTCAGAGCTGGGCTCTGTTCATGCCTATGGAATGTATGTGCATGAAATGACCAATGAGGGCAGTTCCCATGTTGGAGACCAAGTGGAGGGATGGTGAAAATTAAAAATTCTTGGAGAAGTGGAGAAGCTCCATTGTGCCTTTTTGTTCTCTGTAGAAATGAGATGTCAGCTTCCTACTGCTCCTTGCAGCTGGCACCAGCAGCCAAGCAAAGAAACGAAAGTAAACGAAAGGTCAGAAAATTGCCCAGGTTGCGTTGTGGTGAGATGGACTGTTTCTGTTTCCAGAATCACAGAATGGCCAGAGTTGGAAGGGACCTAAAGGATCATGAATCTCTAACCAGAATGCATTACTGTAAGAGTTGTCCCTTGTTAGTTAACAAGAAGCCTTTGCTGATATTTAACAGTAATGTCCATCTCATCCCAGCACCCATGTAGGCCAGCATAGATCACTTAAGGAGCACTTCTCATGGAGGAAAAACCTCACCTTTTTCCTTCTGCCATCCTCTTCCCAAAGATTATTTTGCCAGTGAATTATTCAAACAAAATCTTGAATCCAAAATTCACCTTCCTGATGTTGCTACAGACAGTGCACAATTTGTGGTAGATGGAAAATATATCATACACAGCTCTGGCATGCTGAAATATTCACCTTTAAGAACAGACATTTCAATTCATCTTAGATGGTGAAGGAAACACCAAAATGCTTTTGTGAAATGGAGAGGAATTTAAGGGTGATCACCCCCTCACTAAATACATCCATATGAAACTCAAGTGTCTTCTCTCAATTAGTTCACTGGACTCCATCTGTAGTTAATGTGGAGAAAGTAAGTGAAAGAAATCAATGGAAGGCAGTGTATTTAATTTCAAGAACATGAGGTTAATTACCATTTGGAGGTAATCTCTCTTTATCCAGCAAGTAATAAAGACAGTTCCCTTAAATGAGGCATCTTATTTTTGAAGGGAGGAAGACAAGTCCCTTTTTAAATTATCAGTTACAAAAACGTGGTTATTCCTGTAATTCTGTGTGCTTCAATTATAGTGTGTATAATTACACATAATCTTGACTGCTGCAATATTGGTCCAGTATAAATTCAGTGAATGCAATGACACTTGCTGAACCATCACAGTCAACCATAATAGAAAAGACAGCATAGAGCTTCTAGGAGGATTTGTGTCCAACATGGGAAAGGAAATATTCTTCCCTCTTTCACACACATGCACACGCACATATATATATGTGTATTTATTTACATTATTCTCCATGCCTTTGTTATCTGTTTTCATTGACTGCTTGTCATTCAGACCAATTGTCGGACCAGTCTTGGTCATCCTTTGCGCAAGATGCACACTCAACCAAAAGTTTTCACAATCTAATTATCAGTGACGTTTGCAGCCTGCAGGCATAATGCTTTTATATCATTTATTGTGCACCAGCAGATGGCTGATCTGCTGTTATCTTCTGATATGACTGCAAGAGACCTGCTGCTCAATGCAATGCCTGACCAACCTTCAATTAGGACCCCTCCTTTTTGGGGGCCTGTGATGTGCTGCCTCTACCTGTCCTCAAGATAGGCATGGTAACATAGGCAGCACTTTTCTTTCCCTTTCTTTCTCTCTTTTCCTTCCCTTTTGGGGTTCAGTGATCAGAGATGTCAGTAGTTTGAGAACACGTAGAGATGCTGTCTGCATCTACAGCACAGGAACTCTTTCCTCTCTGCCAATCTACCAACACACCTCAGCTGCAGACCTTTTAATGGCTCTCTTTATTCCAAGGGATATTTCATAGAATCATAGAATGGCGTGGGTTGAAAATGAACTCAATGATCAACTGGCTTCAACCCCCTGCTATGTGCAGGGTCGCCAGCCACCAGACCAGGCTGCCCAGAGCCACATCCAGCCTGGCCTTAAATGGCTCCAGGAATGGGGCATCCACAACCTGTCTGGTCAGTCTGTGTTTCCAATGCTCATAATTATATCCTACCCAAATATAGCACCTTCTCCCTTCTAGTGATGAAATTTCTTTTCTGTAGTGCCATTGTTTCTGAAGTAATTAAGGTTTGGAGGGCTCTTGAGAAACCATCTAACATATCTCCCTTCTCAAAGACAGTGTCAGCTCAACATAGTCTATTCCAGCATATAACATTTTAACTTTAATATCAGAATGTCTCGTCCCATATTTTTTTTTCAATTGACATTAATATTCACCTTAGAAAAATAGTCACACTGTACTTAAAAGAGGAAAGATGCCATTAAAAAAAGGCTCCGTACATTGAAGGGCTGAAATAAGGTTTTTGAACGCTTTGCCTGGAATTTCCAGTGCTGTTTGTAAATTGTACCTCACATTTGGCCTCTAGGAGGGTGATAGCATGACCCTAAGAGAGGACTAGTCAGTCCAGTGTAAATATATGTGCTGCCTTCTTGATTTCCTTGCGGGTTCACTAATAAAAGTGACAGCTGTTACTGGGTGGTTTTTTTTTTGGACATCTGTTCAGTAGGAACAAAACCAAGATTCATAATTCGTTAGATAAACAAATAAACATTTAATCTGGAGTTGTTTGAAACCTCGGCAGACCCAGCTGGATTTGTGCTAGTGACCCCAAGGTGGAAATATCTACATCCATAATCACTCTTCTGGGTGAATCAGGATGAATTTTCAGTCTCATTACTGCTAATTTTAGCTAACCGAGTATATTTGCTTCAATGAGGGCTTAATGAAAAAAGTCACATATTATGAAGGTTCCTTAAATAAAGGGTTATTAGATAATTAAAATGTTTCTAAGACGTGGCTAATCACATTTTATAAATCATTACAGTATTCTGTGGCTGCTGCTGTGTTTCTAGAATATGTAAGTAGGATAGGCACTGACCCCAGTGTCCATTAATTGTATATTCATTCTTAATTCAGCAGAGTTTTCAGATGACCAAAAATCATTTTTACAAAGAGCAGCAATGATTTTGATTTATGTTTTTAAAATATTTGTCTTATGAAGCACTGAAGCACTTGTGGAAACATCTGCTTGGATGAAATTGGGGAACCACATGCAGCAGCATTGATTTTAAAGAGTGGGGGAAAGTTATCTCACTTGGCTTTGGAAATCTGTGAATTATATGTGTAAAACTGGTCACATGGACTTCTGGTTCAGTGAGGGAAGTGTTAGAATCATAGAATATCCTGAGTTGGAAGGGACCCATAAGGATCATTGAGTCCAGCTTCTGATAAGTAATCGTAGAAGGTATTTCCTCTGACCTGTGTCAAATTTGTATCTTGAGGTGAATGAAGTCGCTGGAGGAGCCTCTTTGGTTGCTGAATTTCTGAAAGGAATTTGGTTGTCTTAACTTGGCTGCCTGATTTCTGCTTTCAGTAAGGTGAAAAAGAAGATGGACTTAAAAATAAAAACTAACTGATGAAATTCCAATCCCCACCATCCACAGAGATGCTTTTTCGAAGAACAGTTCAGTGGTTCCAGCTGTAAAGACCATCTCTTGCTGTTGAGGGTTTGAAAATATACTCTGCTACGACCTTCATTGCAGTTGGACTGAGGACTGACATTTGAACTGCTGATATGGAAAGCCTAAAGTTAAAATTTCCTTTGGAAATCCTGTGATATATATCTTGTGACCCTTCCTGGTAACGTTTCATTTCAGTTCTCCTTCAAAATCATGAGAATTTTTTATTTCCTTTCAGATTCTCTTTGCGAACAAAAGGATTGTTCTGAAAATCTCTCCACCTGAAAAAGTCATTGTATCTCCTCAGCCTTTTCCAGTGTAGTAGGTTAAAGATTTACAGTGGTTTCTGTTCTGGAGGATTCCTAAATATTGGAGGTTTCTTGTTAGTTGGTTTATGTTCGGTTTTGTTTTCTTTTATGGTGTTTGTTTTTTTTCTCTTCAAAATCCATTTCTTCCATCAATTCACAGTTTAATTTTTATTAGAAGCAATAACTTCCATCGTGTTGCTTTTATCAATTACGTTTTCTCATTCCAAGTGGTAACCCCAGAGAAAGCCCCTCTAGCAACAGAGTACATTTAAAGCATTCTAAGGTATCTTTGCAATTAAAAAAGGAAAAAGGTGCCAGCCATGATGTGTAGTTATCTACAATCCCAACTAGAAAATGTTGTGTTTTATTCTTTTCCTTTATTTATTTATTTTTACAGGCAGTGGTGATGTGTGGTAGAGGAAACTCACAGATGCCAAGGCTTTTCCTTCATTGCCCCTCACGGCCGAGAAATTTTAGAGGGATAAAACCTGTCCACTAAAGGGCCATTGAAAGAAACGCAATAGCCAGCTAAAAAATGAGCGTATTTTTACGCCTCTGATTGGCAGGAAAATCTTATACAAATAGTGATAGGCAGTCTCTGAGCATTGCTGTGTGCTTCACATTGAGAAGTTGTCTTCATTTCAGAATCCAAATGAATGATTAGCTCCTACAGAATCTACCAACTATACAGACTGTTTATTCAGTGCTCAGTCTAGGATGTTGCCTGCGACATCCAAAAGAGCGTGACTGACCTTTGCTGGTACCAGGATTAAGGCTGCTAATTAAAATTCAGTGAAATAAGGAGTCCATCCAGGTATTGTAGAGTTTAAGGGGGAATGTTTATCTTTTCGAACCCAAGTGTTTG